AAAGTGCTGGGATTACAGGCTTGAGCCACCGCGCCCGGCCTCAATAGTACCTTTTTAATAAGATTTCCTCACTTCACTCCTAGTACTGCCAACCTTCCTTATTTTTACCCCATAGCATTTCATTATATTTTAAATACTACTTAATTATTTAGTATCACCTCCTGCCCCTCTCCTATTAGAATGCAAATTTCAAAGGGGCAGCAGTTTTGTCTATGTTTTTCTCCCCCACTGCTGTGTCTCCCAGTGCCTGGAACAATGCCTGGCACACAGTAGGTGCTCGATAAATATTTGTTGTTGCATGAGTCTTTTTGCTTTTATTTAAGAAAGTATTAACCAGGCCAAGCGCAGTGGCTCACACCTATAATCCCAGCACTTTGAGAGGCTGAGGTGAGAGGATCCCTTGGGTCCAAGAGTTTGAGACCAGCCTGGGAAACATGGTGAAACCCCATCTCTACAGAAAAATACAAAAATTAGCCTGGTGTGGTGGCATGCACCTGTATTTCCAGCTACTCCAGAGGCTGCAGTGGGAGGATTGCATGAGCCCAGGTGGAGCCTGCAGTGAGCCGTGTGCCACTTTACTCCAGCCTGGGCGGCAGAGGGAGACCCTGTCTCAAAAAAATGAAAATAAACAAACAGAAAATAAAAAAAAGAGGTGTGCTGTGATTTCCCTTTCCTTGAGTCTGGGAGGTTTGTGATGTGCTTGTAATTAAGACAGTTGGAAGGAAGTGACACTGCATGACCTCTGAGGCTAGATCAGAGCAGGTGGTATAACTTTCATCGGTCAGCACCTAAGCAGCCCCGTTGGCCTGAGGCTGCCAGGCTGTAAAAAAGGCCAAGTGAGTCCATGCGGAAGACCACCTGAAAAAGCCTTGAGACTACAGGAGATGCTCAGCTATCCCCACTTGCTCTAGCCCTCACCTGGAGAGCCTGCAAGCTCAAGATGAGCCAGATGGAACTACCCCTCTGACGCTCTCCCCAAATTCCTGACTCCCAGAGACTGAAAAGTGATGAGATGATTGCTTTGTTCTAAGACATTAAGTGTTGAGGGTGATTTGTTCCATAAACGAAGCAGAACAGCCGGGCACAGTGGCATGTGCCTGTAGTCTCAGCTACCCCTGAGACTGAGGTGGAAGGATTGATTGAGCCCAGGAGTTCAGGGCTGCAGTGCGCTATGCCGATTGGGTGTCCACACTAAGTTTGGCATCAATATGGTGACCTCTCGGGAGTGGGGGACCACCAGGTTGCCTAAGGAGGGGTGAACCGGCCCAGGTTGGAATTGGAGCAGGTCAAAACTCCCATGCTGATCAGTAGCAGGATCGCACCTGTGAAAGCCACTGCACTCCAGCCTGGGCAACATAGCAAGACCCCATCTCTAAAAAAGAAGAAAAAAAAAAAAGAAACAGAGCATTTTCCCAAAACTAGTGAGTGGCAGAGATGGGTTTCAAACCAAGGCAGACCTGAGCCCAATCACCTGATCTTTCTATTAAAAATAAATTTTAAAAAATGTTGCTAAAAAATGCTGAGAGGGACACAAGGTGAGTACATGCTGTTGGAAAAGTGGTGCTGACAGACTTCCTTCATGCAGGGTTGCCACAAACCCTCAATTTGTGAAAAACAGTATCTACTAGGCCTAATAAAATCTCACTTGCTGGGCATGGTGGCTCACGCCTGTAATCCCAGCACTTTGGGAGGCCTAGGTGGGTGGATCACCTGAGGTCAGGGGTTCAAGACCAGCCTGGGCAACATGGTGAAACCCCATCTTTATTAAAAATACAAAAAAATTTGCTGGGTGTGGTGGTGGGAGCCTGTTCTACTCAGGAGGTTGAGGCGGGAGAATTGCTTGAACCCGGGAGTTGGAGGTTGCAGTGAGCCGAGATTGCGCCATTGAACTCCAGCCTGGGTGACAAAAATGAACTCCGTCTCAAAAAAAGAAAAAAAAAAAAGAAAGAAAAACGCAATTAAATAATATACGCTTTTATTTAAACCTATGTTGGCTAGTGAGTTTGACCAGAGTCTAGCAAAGGTTTATCAAGAAAAAATGTCAGAGAATTCAGATCCTATAAGACAAAGACAGCCTGTCCCAGGAAGGACTTCACAACAGCAATTACTTTAACAAGTTACAATTCGCAGAGTATGGCCTTTAAGGGGCTTTGAAGAGAGAGGAGCCCATGAATCAAGACTAAGATAAGGCTATTTGGTTTGTTTCAACTTGCAGGCTGTTTGACTTCCGCATCAGAGCCATGCCTTGGGAATGAAATCATATCTATCAAACAGCCCTTTCAAAGAACATCCGACACAAACACTCGTTAGCTGCTCCTTGATTTCCTCTGTGTCCAGGGTGCGTATGGACGCGCGGGACTAGCTGTGTATGGCATCTGGGGGACTAGCTGTGAATTGCGCATCAAATAAATAACCTGCAGGGAGTTGGCACTGGTGACTGTGAGCCATAAATGCTGCTGTTTCCTTACACAGACTAAGCCTGCGCTTTTGGCAGCTTCTTTGACCTTTTCTGGCTTTTTCCCAACCTTAACCCAACATAGCTATGAAAAGGCAGCTCCGGGTTGTGGGGCACACTTTTAAAGTTAACAGCTTGGTCCCTCTCTCCAAGGCATCCGTCCTCAGCGGGCCTAGTCCACCTGTGACAGCAGGGAAGAATGGAGTGATCTTTCTTAATCTCCCAGGGTCTTAACCCAATGCTGTGGGCCACTTGTGTCCCCATACCCCAGCAAATGCATATGTTGAAGTCCTAACTCTCAGATTATAACTGTCTTGAGTGATAGCATCTTTAAAGAGATGATTAAGTTAAAATTGGGTCATAATCCAGTATGACTGGTGTCCTTCTAAGAAGAGAGACGGCAGGACCTATGTACACAGACCCAGTGAGGACAGAGAGGCCGGCCACCTGCCAGCCAAGGATAGAGGCCTCAGAAGAAGCCACCTTCTGATACTTGATCTTGGGCTTCCAGAACTGTCAGGAAATAAGCTCCGCTGTTTAAGGCACCCCATCTATGGTACTTTGTTATGGCAGCCCTAGCAGACTATCACACCCACAAACAGAATTCACAGCCCTGAGGCTGGGATTTCAGAAACGTTCCAAAGGTAATTGGCAGAAATCTCAACAGGCAAGGGTCTAGCCTTTTAGCGCACTTTCTTTATCTTTCCCAGGTGGCCTACAGACAGGATCGTAAGGCAGTGTTAGGGACAGGGAAAAGGCAGTGCTGACCTGCAGGTCTATTGAGGATACTCAGGTCTCTTGACTCAAAAGGGAAGGAACCAGGGTTCCAGTCCTAGAAAGTCCAGAAAGTAGCAGGGAGACTGGGTAGGTACCTGGGCATGGTCAAGAGGCCCATATTGATGCATGTCGCGAACCCCTTCCCCCTTCTCCCAGCTACCCTAGGCCTTCTTTCCCTGCTCCTCTTCCAGTCTCTTTGACTTTTCCCAGCAGCCTCACCTGTAACACTGCTTTATTACCAGGTAAGGCAAAAGAAGGGGAAAATTTGGCTTTACCTTCTGATTTAGCATCATGCAAGTCCTAATGCTCTTTCAGTTTTTTGTTTGTTTTGGTGGGTGATATGGAATGGAAGGATTTGCAGGAGTTATTTTTTTGAGATGGGGTCTTGCTATGTTGCCCTGGCTTAAGTGCAATGGCTACTCACAGACCCCATCATTCCACACTACAGCCTTGACCTCCTAGGCTCAAGCAATCCTCCCACCTCAGCCTCCTGAGTAGCTGGAACTACAGGTGCATGCCACCATGCCCTGCCACCTGCTGCAGTATAAGCCGCTGGCAGGATGGGTGGATGGTCCCTAAAGACGCCCATCTTTTAATCTTTGAAATCTGTGGCTATGCCACCTTCCAGGGAAAAAAAGGACTTGGCGGATGTTAGTAAGCATTTTAAAATGGAAAAGTTGTCTTGGATTACCTGAATGGGCCCAGTGTAATCATGAGATCCTTATAAGAGGGAGGCAGGAGGACCAGAGACAAAGACGATGATGTGATGATGGGGACAGAAGTGTGTGTGAGAGAGGAGAAGGGTTGAAGATGCACCCTGCTGCTGGCTTTGCAGGCAGAGGAAGGGGCTGCAAGCCAAGGAACACAGGCAGCCTCTAGAAGCCCAAAAAGGACACGGATTCCCCTCTATACCCTCCATAAGGAAAAGCAGCCCTGCTGACCCATTTCTGACTTCTGACCTCCAGAACAGTGAGATGATCTGTGCTGTGTAAAGCCACTCTGCTTGTGAGTATAACTGGTGACAGCAACAACAGGAAAGCATACAGGCTGCAAGATGAAAATCCTTGAGAACAACTGCCACCACATTTAATTATTATTATTATTATTATTTTGAAATGGAATTTCACTCTTGTCACCCAGGCTGGAGTACAATGGCACGATCTCAGCTCACTGCAACCTCTGCCTCCCAAGTTCAAGCAATTCTCCTGCCTCAGCCTCCCAATTAGCTGGGATTACAGATGCACACCACCACACCCAGCTAATTTTTGTATTTTTAGTAGAGATGGGGTTTCACTATGTTGGCCAGGCTGGTCTTGAACTCCTCAAAGTGCTGGGATTACAGGCGTGAGCCACCATGCCCAACCTGCTATCACATTTAAACAGGAAGTGATGTGTGACTAGATATACAAATTTCTGGAGCTTCAACCCTTCAAACAGTAGTTCCCAGAGAGTAGCCTCCTATCAGCAGTGTCAGCACCTGGGAACACGTGGGTCACATTCTCAGGCCCCATCCCAGGCCTCTTGGGCGAAAAACTCCGGGGGCAGGGCCAGCACCCTGTGTTTGAACAGGTCCTTCTGGTAATTCGGAGGCATGCTAAGGTTCACCTTAAATACAAGTGACCTGGGGCTGAGTTCAGTGGCTCGCACCTGTAATCCCAGCACTTTGGGAGTCCGCTAATAACAGCCATGATTATTATACCTGCCCTGACATTATCTTCTATTTCCAGGCTTCACATATGTAAGAGATCCTATACAAGAGTTCACCTACACAAGGGATTCAATCCATCTTAGGTTCTGCTAATGACCTCCCCTCCTGAGGTTCATCAAAATTGAAGCGGGGGCTGGGTGAGGTGGCTCATGCCTATAATCCCAGCACTCTGGGAGGCCGAGGTGGGTGGATCACCTGAGGTCGGGAGTTCAAGACCTGCCTGACCAATGTGGGGACCCCATCTCTACTAAAAATATAAAATTAGCCAGGTGTGGTGGTACATGCCTGTAATCCCAGCTACTCAGTAGGCTGAAGCAGGAGAATCCCTTGAACCCGGGAGTTGGACGTTGTGATGAGCCAAGATTGCGCCATTGTACTCCAGCCTGGGCAACAAAAGCAAAACTCCATCTCAAAAAAAAAAGCTGATGTGGGAAGATTGCTTGAGGTTAGGAGTTTGAGACCAGCCTGGGCAACATAGGGAGACCTGTCTGTTAAATCAAGTTTAGCCTAAAGTGGCCTCCTTACTTTTTTTTTTTCTTTTTCTCTTTTTTTTTAAAATATAGACGGGGTTTCACCATGTTGACCAGGATGGTCTCGATCTCCTGATCTCGTGATCCACCCGCCTCGGCCTCCCAAAGTGCTGGGATTACAGGTGTGAGCCACCGCGCCCAGCCCTACGTTATTTTTTGAGATGGACTTTTGCTCTTGTCACCCAGGCTGGAGTGACGTGGCACAATCTGGGCTCACTGCAGTCTCCACCTCCTGTGTTCAAGTGATTCTCCTGCCTCAGCCTCCCAAGTAGCTGCGATTACAGGTGCGCACCACCATGCCCAGCTGATTTTTTGTATTTTTAGTAGAGACGGGGTTTCACCATGTTGGTCAGGCTAGTCTTGAACTCCTGACCTCAGGTGATCCTCCCGCCTTAGCCTCCCAAAGTGCTGGGATTACAGGCGTGAGGCACCTTGCCCAGCCCCTCCTTACCTATTTTAAATTCAGCCTGAAGATTTCTCATAGTGAACTGTATACAACCTAAATGGAGTTGTAAACCAACTATAACCTACCTTTGTGCCAATCAGGGAGTTCTGGCCAATCAAAGGGGACCAACTGTTCAAAACGTGTTCAAATAAGGCAAATGCCAAGCTGTGGCCAATCCAGCTGTTTCTGTACCTCACTTCTGTTTTCTATTCGTTACTTTTCTTTCTTTTTTTTTTTTCTGAGACGGAGTCTCGCTCTCGTTGCCCAGGCTGGAGTGCAACAACGTAATCTTGGCTCACTGAAACCCACGACTTCTGAGTTCAAGGGATTCTCCTGCCTCAGCCTCTTTAGTAGCTGGGATTACAGGCATGCGCCACCATGCCCAGCCAATTTTTGTATTTTTAGTGAAGACAAGGTTTCTCCATGTTGGTCAGGTTGGCCTTGAACTCTCAACCTCAGGTGCTCCACCCGCCTTGGCCTCCCAAAGTGCTGGGATTACAGATGTGAACCACAGCGCCCTGCTACTTTTCTTTTTCTGTCTATAAATCATCCACCACGTGGCTGTACTGGAGTCTCTCTGAGCTACTCTGGCTTGGGAGTCTGCCCGATTCGCAAAGCATTCTTTGCTCAATTAAACTGTGTTAA